TGGCAGTTTGGCGTAGTGTTCAACGTGTCGAGATTATACGCTGCAGGGTCATAGTTCGAGTCCCGCTGGGGGTGTTGATAAGACCTAGGCTAAGTCGAAACTGGAGTCCACTCCAGCAAGAATGAGAATATCTTTTGGGAAAGCACAACCATGTGAAATTAATTGGAATAGTCAGTTCTACTCATATGAAGGGGGGAAAAGTCAACAACAAGTCCTTCATCACCTTAAACGAATTATGGAGAAAACATTTCATGTAAGAAAATTTGGGCATCCAGCAATTTCTAGGTTTACACTTGTTGGGTTCACTTCCACTTAGACTAATTCTGTGGCTTCTTCTTCTGGTGGGATCCACCTTTGGACCTCGTCATTCCATACACTTTCCATCGAAATGGACAAAGACTCAAAGATTTTATGATAAAAAAATTTAGGTCTCGAGAATTGAGCCTACTTCCAGGTCTTGTGTGGATCTATCTTCCAAGCTCTTCCTCTGGCACAACTTTCATCCGAACTATCCGTTCTCCCCACCAGTTCTGACCTGTTCGAATCGGAGTTCCGCCAGACCTGCCGCTTTTCTCGACCAACACAACGCATATCTTCGAGGCCACCCGGTTGCCCCGTTTCTGCTCAGGCCTCTCCTAAACACTCACCATTTGGGCTCGTGTGTCCGTCGTCGCGGGAGGCCGGGAAGTGGAGGCGGAGTCGTGTCCGACCGGCTTCTCCAAAGACCTGCGCTTCCGACCGGACCGGACGGGCGCGCCGCGGTTTCGGCTGGCCTGTAGCTGGCGTGGAGCCGGCTCGGATAGATCCGGGCTAGTCAAGGCGTCTGCTCCGACTCGCTTGCTCTCCGTCCGCTTACACTTTTGCCACTACTTCCTTGCGCTATTCACACACTTGGGCCGACTGGCAGCCTCCGAACCGTCGTCGTCTCGGCCAGTCTCAAGTAGGAAATGGCCAAATCGCCCTGATAGGCTCACACAAGCCTCACTCAAGCCTCGTGCTTCAGGTCACTTTTACCACACCTCACAACATCTCACCACATCTCTCCTCGTCCACCCTCTCTGTCCCTCGCTTTCTAACTCTATCTCTCTATCTGCCTATCTCTCTCCATCTCTTCCTTTCTCGACACGTCTGCATCCCTTTTCACAAGACTCTAATGCATTACGTTCTCTCTCTCTCTCTCTCTCTCTCTCTCTCTCTTTATCTCTCTCTCTCTCTCATCATCCATCCATCCATCCACCCACCGAACTGCCGGTCAGTCAGTCCGTCGGTCGGTCGGCTCATGGGCGGATCACTCCAGCACACTTCTTCCGAAGCAATGTCTGCCTGTCTGGTGATACATCGCCTCGTGTGTCTATCCCTCCACGAGCCTGTCACTGTCACTTGGGCATACCTGTTCGTCTATCACTGGGGCCGTCCTCGTGTCGTTCCGTTCACTCGAAGCCCACTAACTCGAGCCCTCTGGCTGCCATGCCGACGGCTCAACGACATGAACACAACTCGTCGTGACTGCAGGCGGCCCCGGGCGGAGAGTTTTGCTCAGGACCACCTTTTCTCCAGTCCATCGTAGCATGGATGACTTGGCTTGGCAACAATATGTTGGGTATAGCAAGTGAGTTTTTTTATATTTGGGCGGATAGTTGAGTTTTTCTCATTATCATTTCGTTGCGGGAGAATTCAATTACCAGTACCTCATCACCTTAAATGAAATAGGGTTAACACATCTCGTATATCTGATTCAATAGTAGTCTAGAAAACCTGCTTACAAACGAAAAATAAGTAGTATCACTTACTTGAGTGTAACTTTACTTAATCGACAATCCCACCACAGAATGTCCTCTTGTCACTTTAAAGGAAAGCGGATGAACAAATTTCGTAAATCATAGTGTCTCTCTACGACGCTGTCTGTCACATGAGAGACGAAATGTCATTGTTGTGAATACTTCATTTCGTAGGTTAATCTCACCAGAAGACGTTAGCAGATTCGCGTTCAGTTTGAAGTAGTTCCCGAGGCATCCTTCAACGTTTTGGGCGAAGACGGCCAGAGCTCTGGTTCGTCATTTGACAAGCATTCTCAGAACTGGGACTTATTCTTGCAAAAGCTTGAAGTTAATACTATGACAAGAAGACTGATCGGCTTTTTTCTATATGATATATGTACTAATTGCAAGCAAAATTTGATATTTATATGAATATAGAAAGGTCTGGCTAATTTACGTATACTCAAGTTCATCTGTGTATATCATTGTGTTAACGCCTGTAGGGAAAATTGATCACATCTCAGAGTAATTAAAAAAAAGCTTAATAACTCCAAGGGAAAAAAAATTTGTCTTATTAAAAAGGATGACCGAGATTGCGTTGGTTGAATTGATGAGATGTTAGTGTGTACTCGTGAAAGTCAGGTTACGAAGCCACCAGTCCGAATACGTTAGTCTGGGCTATTAAGGTTTAATGACCAAAGGGGAAACCTGGCTGGGATCGCGTAGCCCAGCACGTCTGTTTTGGTAGATTAGCTTGACATGTCTGTTGAACGAGTGTTCACCATCACTCAACTGACAAGTTGAATCGTCTTCCTTTGGACGGCGGCTCAACGCCTTCTCTCGCTTTTAATCTTTCAATCGAGCAAAATTAGTTCTTACTTAACTTTCTATCACCATTCCTAACAGTCAACGTATTTCCTAATCTATTCATTTCAATAGCCTCTCATATCTTGCGTTTTATAGCAGACACACCAAAATCAGCAGACCTCTGCGTCTGACGCTATTTTATCTCATGTCCAGTCTCCACTTTGTGTTCAGCTGCCTTCGCAAGCATTTTTGGGCTCCGCTAATCTTTGGCGGATCGGTCGACAGGTCTCGCCAAGATAAGGTCAACCACAGGAGCACATAATCTTGCAACAGCCGGATCTTATTTGTCTCTTAAAGAAGACATAACCGAAGAAGTTGTCAGAGTTTCTTGGAAAACTGTCCCCCACTTCCTCACTAGTTCTCCTATCTTCTCAGAAAGAAAACATGACGGCAAGATTAGAACATGAAAAAGGGTCTCAGCTTGCCTATCTCTGGTCATATAGTCTCCGCCTGAAAATGTATCCCTTATTAAAGATATATTAGTATCAATTAAGCCCAAAGGATAAATATTATCCAGGAATAAAACTTTTAGTTTTCTTAACAGTTCGGTCAGATGATTTTCATCCCCCTGCTACATTGTCTCGTGTAATACATCGGCCTGAGCGTCGATGTATTCACCCAATTTCGTTTAAGGTGATGAAGGACTGGTGGTAGAATTTTTCCACAATGATATGAGTAGAGCTGACGCTTTCATTGAATTTCACAAAGT